GACATTCAACCTCATACCCCTGTACTAGTAGGAACTAATGTTTTATTTCTACTTCAGTGAATGAAAGAACAAGAAGTGACCATGAAAGTTTAGTGATTTTAGTAAGTTACTGTGACAACTTTTCCCATTTAGGAACAAACCAGTTTCATTACAAAATATAAACCAATGTGCAAAAGTTTTCAAAATGCTCGGGAAATTGAGATAACCAACCCGGTACTGGTACTAATACTGACGGTAATTTGTCATTTATAAAAAATAAAAATATAAGTTTCATTCAGATATCTAGATTCTAGAATATTTCACATGATCGTCAATCGTGGCAAGCTGGAAAATAATACAGGGGGTGCGCAAAAAATCTTAAAATTAATAAAGGGGAGGGGAAACCCTTATTCGACACCTTAGAGTATTCAAGTACATAGTTAGCACTGAGCTCATTTCAGTTTAGTTTTCATAAGAGTTCTACGGCACTTGCAACACAATAAGGTCATATAAGTGCTAAAGATTAGAGGTGTTACAAGAGAGTAACAAACACAAAATGGAAGGAGGGGAGATAAGGACGATAGATGTTCGATAGGAAAGAAGGAGCAAACCACACCAGAGCACCCGCCAACCACCCACACATCACATTTACAAGGCCACGACTGACAAAAATACTGTTATCAATAATTACTATTACCTGATTCCAATGTTGTGTTTATGTTATTATTACTTTGACACTGAAAAGATTCAGAACGACACTTCAGGAAGGTTACTTTTTCTAGAACTACTACCAATGAACATTCTGATGTAGAAGATTTACTATTTCTGAATAAGTGTTTATAAAAACATGGTCCCTTCTCCTTACTATGAATTGTGAAGACTAGAAATCAAATTACAGATGACTCAGCTCAAACCAACACAGGTTATTCCAAAAATGGCTGGAAAGTGAAAGAAAAAAGATCCCTATTTGTTTTCTTTGCTACCCGAGCAATCTTTCTCAACTGAAAACACAGCTAAACTGAAGAAAATCCGGCAGCCCCTCAAATTTCAATTTTAGCAGACTCCACAGTATCTCCATATAAGACTTAACCCTAAACATATAACAATCTTTAAAGGTAAATGAACAAATATTATGAAAATTTAAGTTAAATTAGGTTCGCTAATTTCCAAAAATGCTCAAATTCGGGACCCCCTGAAACTGAGAATATAAGCTCTTGGGACGATGGGAGATACAAGCACTGCTGAAAATATACACGCATCGGGCTGGAAGGATTTAAAACATAAGACATGCGTCTCACCTGAGCATAGAAATTTGGTCCAAACCCAACGCCGGCGAGAATTTCATCGTCTTCATCCTTCATGGCCGGGTCTACCACGGCATCAACAAGCTTCTGCAGCTTCGCACAAGCACGAGCAACTTCTTTGGAGTTTGCCTCGGGCTTCAGATGAATCCACAGGTACAGAGCGTGGTTCTTTCCCGGAGAAAACACCTGTGGGGCACGGAGGGAGGGGAGGAGTGCGACAAGTTAATGGCTTATTGTAATAATAATAGCTGTACACTCCCGCCAACCACCCACACAAAGGTTTTGTTTTTTGTTTTTTTAGCAGAGGTTTTACGACGCTCGCAACTGCAAAAGGTCATATGAGCTTCAAGGGGTGGATGTCAACAGAGAAGTCCTTACAGGTAATCGGGCTTACTCGGCTAACCTCCCACCTCTCTAGCTTCAACAGCGCAAAGTCTGCTTCCACTATCAAGGCACCCCGAAAATAGCGGGTCACAAGAGAGTGATAAAGATACAAAAGAAGTAGAGGAAGAAAGACGATAGTAAGGATGAAGAAAGAAAAAGCAGCAGTTCCCCGTTGCAATTCTGGCACAGCTATGAGCATGACATTGATGAATCAGCCCATTTACAATTACAATTCTACTGTGCATAAGAACATGGTAATGTCCCCCCTTTGGGAATGGTCTAAAGACAATTCAGTCAGTAGCAACACAATGTTTGCAACAACTCCCAGGAACATAACCAGGTATTCAAATCATTTTTGTTCAAGTCTTTTTTTTGTTGTTGCTGTTTTTATTTCTTGGGTTTTGTTTCAGTAAGAGTTTTACAGCCCTTGCAACCCAATTAGGTCACATAAGTGCTGAATATTAGAGGTGTCACAAGAGAGTAACAAACACAATTAGGTCACATAAGTGCTGAATATTAGAGGTGTTACAAGGAGTAACATACACAAAAAAGAAGGAGGAGAGATCTGGACGATAGATGTTTGATAGGAAAGAAGGAGCAAACCACACCAGAGCACCCACCAACCACCCACCAATAGATATTTGATAGGAAAGAAGGAGAACATCAAACAAGGGTACCCACCAACGACCCACAATCTTTTTCTTTGAAAAGTTAACTCCAATCACTTTAAACAGAACAGGAAAGAACAACTTCTAAGTTCAGTTTTCAGAATAAAAGATATATTCCTGAGGTCTAATCAAAAGAGAACACAGACACCATAGAAGTAGGTCAACTTAACCCCCCCCCAAAAAAAAAGAATAAAAAAATAAAACCACACATAGAACTTTCAAATCATCATGTAACTTCTAAGGGATCATATAAAATATGTGACAATATACATGCCGAAACCTGGATTTGTTTGGTTTTTCTCAACTACAGATAAGTCCCTTTAACTTGTATCTTTGTTTATCAGCTACAAAATGGGGACATGTGGCTGTCGAAGGACAAGAAAAAACAGCAGAGGTGTGACCTCGTACACAGTTGTCATCTGACCGGGAACTGCTGATTCAGTTAAGTTTTAGTAGAGGTTTTACGGCGCTCGCAACTGCATAAGGCATAAGGTCATATGAGCGCCAGAAGATTAGAGTTTTAGTTTTAGTAGAAGTTTTACGGCGCTCGCAACTGCATAAGGTCATATGAGCGCCAGAAGATTAGCGCGTTACAAGAGAGTAAGAAACATAAAAAAGAAGAAGAGGAGATAAGGACAATAGATCTTCGATAGGAAAGAAGGAGCAAACCACACCAGAGCACCCGCCAACCACCCGCAGAGGTGTTACAAGAGAGTAACAAACATAGTAAAGAAGGAGGGTAGATAAAGACGATAGATGTTTGCCACTGACTGGGAATAGCTGAGTCAGCACAGAGCAACAACAGGTGGGAAAAAACGTAAGAGGTAGTACGAATGTCAAGAGCTTCATATCTCGTGTGCAATTTTACAAGGACATTTCGTACGACGACCACTTTAAAATGCTGATGATGATGTTGTCCATTATCTCAACTGTGGTGGCGTGTTCTTGAATCAAGTGTAATCAATTTTAGGCATGGGCACACGATGGTCCATGGGCCCGATCTGGCCCTCTTTTTTAGTTTTAGTTAGCGTTTTACGGCACTTGCAACACAATTAGGTTATATAGGAGCTGCAGATTAGAGGTGTTACAAGAGAGTAACAAACATAAAAAAGAAGGAGGAAAGATACAGATGATAGTTGTTTGATAGGAAAGAAGGAGCAAACCACACCAGAGCACCCACCGACCACCCACAATAAATATGATCAACAGCAAGCTGACATTTTATTCTATGGGGACCGAAAATTGTGCTCACTCAGAGAAGCACAAACTGACCCTACGTTACAAAGGGGTTAAACACCGTCAAAGTAGATGAATAGAGGCTTGAGTCTCTCTCTCTCTCTCTCTCTCTCTCTCTCTCTCTCTCTCCCTCCCTCCCTCCCTCCCTCCCTCCCTCCCTCCCTCCCTCCCTCCCTCCCTCCCTCCCTCCCTCTCTCTCTCTCTCTCTCTCCCCATAAACGGTCAGCAATGCTGACAGCATGCAGAACTCAAAAACTTGCTCGGGGGTTCTTAAAAAATGCTGAAAGTGGGTCACTGAAATGTCCCAGCGTACATGTTTCACTTCCAGTGAAAGACTTAGGAAGACGCATGTGAACCTCAGATTCATAAAACTGTCCCCGTCGTTTTATGCAAGAAAAATTCAGAAATTATGCAAACTGAACCCAAAAATGTGAAATTATGCGATTCTGTTAATTTTAACAAAGAATGATAAAGGAAAATAATCAGAAATTATGCACAAAAAAAATCAAATTTTGCTAAATTATGCGGGGTGCATAAAACCATGGGGACAGATAAAATTAACTCAGGGTCAGTAAAATACAAATTGTGTAATCCTATTTTTGCCTCCTCCGTGTTATCCGAACTCACCGAGGGCTGAGCTTGGGGTGGTCCAGCGGCGGTGACGGCCGAAGAATTGACCACTGACATGACAGCTTTGGCAGCATCGTCCTTGGCGGTGAACACATCCCATTTCCTGTACGCTCCGTAGCCGATTAGACCGGCCGTGGCCGTACCCAACAGCAAGGCTCCTTTGCTCCGGCTCGACGTTGAGGCGCGAGTGCTCAAGGGCCTGACAAGACCTGGAAACAGCAAAGAAAATTTGTTCTTCAAAAAGAGTTCATCAATGCCTTTCACCCCTGGCAGGGTATAGGCCACATACAAGCTCCTTCCATTTATCTCTGTCCTGAGCCATCCTTCCAAAAAGAGTTATAAGACTTTTAAGCTTTGGTTTGAGAGAGAGCTTAATAGCACTTGCTTTTTAGTTTAGTTTCAGTAGAGGTTTTACGGCGCTCGCAACTGCAGAAGGTCATATAAGTGCCGAAGATTAGAGGTGTTACAAGAGAGTAACAAACACTTAAAAAAGAAGGAAAGAGGATAGAGACGATAGATTTTTTATAGGAAAGAAGGAGCAAACCACACCAGAGCACCCGCCAACCACCAACAATTTGTTCTTCAAAAAGAGTTAATTAAAAGACTTAAGCTTTGGTTTGAGAAAGATTTTTATACCACTTGCAACAGTTTCCTCATATAAAGGTTACGAAGATTAGACTGAGGTGTTTCTAGGGAGTAACATACAGAGAAAAACAGGAGAGGAGATAATGGTGATAGATGTTCTATAAGAAAAAAGGAGCAAACTACACGAGAGCCCAGACATTAAAAGAGACCTCAGAAGAATTATTCAGTAAGATCAATGATATTCGTCGACAAAAAAAAAGTAAAAACGTTGTTAAGACAAACACTTAAACTAAATAGGACAAGCAGTACACGTAAATATATTCATTTCTGTGTTATGGTGAAAAGTATCTCAACTAATGATTGACACTCAGTCTACAGATTATTTTTTTAATTCAAAGGAAAGACAAAACATTTCCAGAAATACACATTCCCTCATAAATGTGACGACAGAACATGTTCTGCTCATAATCTTTTTAGTTTTAGTAAGTGTTTTACGGCACTTGCAACACAATAAGGTCATATAAGTGCCGAAGATTAGAGGAATTAAATACAAGAGAGTAAAAAACACCAAAAAAGCAGGAGGGGAGATAAAGACGATAAAGTTTGATAGGAAAAGAAGAAGCAAACCACACCAGAGCACCCGCCAACCACCCACTCATGATCTTTAAAAAAAGCAGCTTGGCTTTTGGCTCCCTTCTCCAACATAAAAATAAAAGCATTGATTCTTTTTTCTTTACAAAATCTCATCTAAGACAGACGTTTTTTTCAAGAGGAATAACTCTTCCGCTGTGGCTAGGGTTAATCCAGACAATCCTGTCTTGTGCATTTCCTTGAGTTGTGTTTTCAATATTTACTTAACAGTCATCTGTTTACCACACTGCATGGGGGCTGTTGTAAATTGTCTCTAGTCATGTTCTTGAGGAATAAAAGTAGCAAGCATAGAGCTGTATAAAAGTGGGTTGGCAGAGATTTATAAATCACTGCCAGCCCGTTTCCTTTTCCCTTGCGTACATTTGATAAGGTCTCTCTGTCTCTCTCTCTCATGAAAGGGCAGTACAGACAGACAGGGACAGCCAGAAAAGGTAAGCACCTCTTAATAGAAACCAATTTCATAATTTTATGTACCCATCTCTGAACATGTAGCCATGAATACAAAATTTGTCAAACTTTAAAAAAGACGAGATTCCTGGTGACAAAAAAAATTACATTTGCTTATCAGAGTTAACCCTATCTGTACGCCCTGGGGACATTTTGTACCCCCAGGGCTGTATTCTTCACATTTTAAAATACTTCTACTACGAAGATCTCTTTGAAACTTTCAGTGTTTCTCAAAAAAATCATTTTGACAGACTTCTATAATGCAAAGCGTACAGATCGGATTAACGAGCAAATTTCCTCTTTGGAAAGTGGTGGCACAGAGTTCCCCACGTCGCATGGATACGATAGTAAAACATGACGTACGGATAGGGTTAACCATGTCTTATCTCTTCTTCACCATCCATTTCTTTTATCAGGGATTACATAAACATTCCCTCTGGCCACACATTTCCAGTGAAGGTCAGGAAATAAACTTGTTTTTAACAAAATGTTAAAATCTGTTTAAAAGATGAAAATCATATCGTGTTCACAATTTAGTGTAGAGGTTTCTAGTTTTAATTGGTCGCTTTTAAGCACAAGGGGGCTATCCCGAAAAATGCAGTATTTGCCCCTTGTCAAGTGTCTTTAAAAGACAAGGAGAGTTTGCTCTATATCCTAAGAAATAAACAAACGATGAAACCAAACTTCTCCTATAGGTAGGCCAATGCCCACTTTTGGTTTAGGTCAAAATTTCTGGAAACTCCCGAAATCTGTGTTAACCCGCTTGTCCTTAAAAGCGACCAATTAAGGAAAGGCACCTCTAGTACAAGGGATTAAACACAATAAAGAGAGAAAAATAGAGAAATAAACAAGAAAGAAAAAGAGATTATGTTATTGAAGTTTTAAGCCCTGATAGAAAGAGAAAAAGTAAAAGTGACATGATTTGGAAAAAGAAAGTGTATATGAAACTGATTTTTTTATAAGTGGATGAAAGCAGTAAGGATATTTTCACACCAATAAAGAGGGCCTACTGATTTATATATATATTTTAAAATGAAGGATTACAAACGAGAAAAAGATTTCCAAACTTCTAGACAAATGTCATAAAGCAAGATGAACAAGCCATTCTCGAAAGCTCGCTTTTATCAAACAAAAAACGTATACTCGTCTTGGTTTTAGTTTTAGTAGAGGTTTTACGGTGCTCGCTACTGCATAAGGTCACATGAGCGCCAGAAAATTAGAGGCGTTACAAAAGAGTAACAAACATAAAAAAGAAGAAGGGGAGAAAAGGACGATAGACGTTTGATAGGAAAGAAGGAGCAAACCACACCAGAGCACCCGCCAACGTATTACTCATTCAAGTGGTAGATGGCGACTGACTATAATAATACACAAATGACACTTGACACTGCACAGCTCCACGACACGACACACCGGGCGACACTCAAAAATACAGTGGCAGACGAGACAGCGAATGACCAGAGGTGCAAGAAGAGAAATATCCCCAAAACATATTTTTATATGAAAAACAACATGGTTTCAAGAAAGAAAACCAAAATTCAATCTTCACTCCATTAAACTAGTAACAGTACAGTAGTACAGAACCAAACCCAGATTCTCTCCAGTGTCTTATGCTATATTCAATACCTGATAAGATACAAACACATGTCGCCCTCCCCCCCCCCCCCCCCCCCTCCTCTCTCAGCCTTCATTGATAAGAGCAAGCACACTCAAGGAGAGACAAGACAGACAGTCCATTACACAAATAACCTACATAATGTTACCTATAAAAATCTTGTACCTTTTGCTTCCTACACCCTCCGTAGGTTTATCAACGCTGACCATGTTTTACTGTGACCAAACTCAGCAATACACTGCTACTATGTCATATATTGAACAGCTGCCTCACTCTGTCCGTACGTCGTGTTTTACTATCGTATCCATACGACGTAGGGAACTCTGTGCCACCACTTTATTAAGAGGAAATTTACTCGTTAATCCGATCCGTACACTTTGCATAGCAGTCTGTCAAAATGATTTTTTGAGAAATACTGAAAGTTTCAAAGAAATCTTAGTACTAGAAGTATTTTAAAACGTGAAAAATAGAACTCCAGAGGTACAAAATGACCCAGGGCATACGGATAGGGTTAAACCCTACATCTGGGATATTCAGCAAACCGAGTTTGTAAAACGTCCTCAGTTCAGAAAGGAAACAAAAGCCACAATCAGCACCAACAGATGCACGGTTTCAGAAAACTTCCGCATTTTACCTTTTGACCCGAGGGACAGTCAGATAATAACTCCACAGGTAAAGACCCAGGCTATAAATAAACTGGACACCACAAATGTTTATTGGAAAGATTTATTGCAGAAATAAATTTCATCACCCATGGCTCCACAAACCCATTTGCATTTTCCCTCACTCTTCCATTTCCACCCTCATGAAATGTAAAGTACATGGCGGGGGGGGGGGGGGGGTAGTCCATTTCCCTTATTTCCATTAGACAGTTGAGCTGCTAAATCCCCTATCCCTAATGTTACCTCTCAGCCGTTCCTTTCTCTTTTCCTAACCTTTCATCATCCTCAACTTCTGAAACAGGCCAAGGATTTTAGAAAGATCACAACGCTCCTCATGTTAGAAAGCCATGGATATCATGCCACTGTTTGAGAACTATACCCCGCTTCGCAAGGCTAATTTTGCTACCTAGCTGCTTTTTTTTTT